TTTGAATCCGAATTTGTAGAGGTGCTTAACCAACAGTGTTTTAAATTCCTACAAACCAAGGTGAGGCATCACTGAGGAAACAATGCCCCAAATATTTTTTTAAGTTTCTTCATAAAGATTGATTAATCTCGAGTATCATATTTTATAGGAATTGAAAATGTTGAAATGGGTTATTTTTACCAGACAAAGTATGTTCTGCTGTTGATTTCACTCTGTATAGGTTGTATTCAGAAAATACCAGTGTTCTTCCTGAAATTTATGTTTCTACCCTTACAGGCAGAAACAGCACGAGAAAGCAAACAGAATCCGATGATACAAAGGAACAGTTCGTTTGCGTCATCACATGAAGTGTGGAAGTTTATCTGTGAACTGGGGATCAGCAAGGTGGGAACTCAGAAGTGTCCAATCTGCATCTTACGTTTTTAAAACTTACTCTTCATGACAGGGATATAATTTCAGTGTATTCCAAACACATCTGTCCCAGACCCTTTTTCAGGTGATATCTGTGTACCTCCTTGAAGAAACCACTTCAAGAAAGTACTGTCCGAAGGCAGTTAGGCAAAGGCTGTCATTGCTGTTTGCACTTTCTGAACTGGACGTACTTGAGCCCAGGCCACAGAGCAGCCGAGGGGAGGCCTGGCAGTGCACTGCACAACCAAGGCTCAAGTCTGTTCTGATAAGTTCTTGACTCTCTTGGGGACATTTCAACTTATGTGCCAAACATCAGTCACCATATCAGTTGTCATTTATGGCTACTCTCCTCCTTACGAGATGTAAGTGGCGTGTCAGCACATTCTTTTGCAGATGTGTGCAGACACTGAGCTGGGTGCTTTTCACCATCAGATAAGAACTGAAGTAGCCGTGGGGACACATCATCTTCATTTCCTGGCCTCCAGATCTCTTTTATGAAAAACCAGGAATTTGGACTATCTGATGTCTAAAGTACCTTTCTGCCTAAGCATTTTATAAATCTCCATCCAATTCTTGCCAAAGAAATGTTACTCAACAACCATCTAGATTTTACTTAGGGGGGATCAGCAGGTGTCCAGCTCGGCTTGAGCTCCGAGTCCTTCGCTGCATCTCAGTGGTCTGTGCGAACTTGGGCCGCCGTTCAGCCACTTTGCTTTCAGTTGCTCTCTAGCATAATGCTTCCCATTTCACCAAGGAACTGTGACCTTTCACTGTTCTTAACACCCTCCGAAAGGATGTCTCCTTGCCCTTTTTGTGCCCTTTCTAACATAATCCGTTTTTAGGTAGAGTTGTCCATGGAGGACATTGAAACCATCTTGAATACACTCATCTATGATGGGAAAGTGGAGATGACTATCATCGCTGCAAAGGAAGGCACCGTCGGCAGCGTGGATGGACACATGAAACTGTACAGGGCAGTCAACCCAGTCATCCCGCCCACGGGGTTGGTCCGGGCCCCCTGCGGACTCTGCCCCGTGAGTTAAAGTGGCTTCACTTTACACTTTCCTACCACCAAGGGAAGATGCCACGTGATGTACCAGCAAGCACACCCTGGTTGGCTCAAACTCAGGGTTGACCAAGAGCTGCTCCAAGCCCCATGTCACCTTGATGGCAGACCTTTAAAGAACAAATCATCACCTTGCACTCTTAGAATAACCAGGTTAAGGAAATTTGTTTTCTGCTCTTGGCCCCAAATGGACAATTTTTGATGAGGGCTAATCATTTAACCTGAGTAGGGAGGGAAAGGAGATTTGTTGAGAACCTACAATGGGCCAGACATGTTATTGAAGATTTATGCGTCTCATTTAATCCTCCTCATGCTCTTTGGAGCTAGTGGTGTAATTTCCTGTTAAGCCTGCGGGAACTTAGCCCATGGAAGACCTCAGAGCATAGCCTAGCCATAGGACCAGGACTCCCACCCTCACACCCAGATGATGCTCTTTCCCCCGGGCTGTGCCTCGGCACCTCCCCTCAATCACCCCAGGTAGTTTACGCGGCTGCCTGGGCGCTGCGGGCGCTGCCCCAACCCTCGTGGTGTTTGTATTCTCCGGCCGCAGGTCTGCGTTTTATTGTCTGCACGCACGAGCTCTATGCCCTGGTTTCAGCTCCTAGGAAAAAGGTTAACCTGTTGGGAATTCTGTTCAGCATCCTTCACAAAAAGGAGGTAGCTAAACATGAAATGTTTACTAGTCTAGATTGAGTCATTGGTGTGTATAGATGTCCCTTCCTGTCCCCGTTACCTGCTGGTGGCCTTTTGCCCAAGAGGCAGGTGAACGTGGTCATCTTAATGCTGCAGTAGGAGGTCCCTCACTAACTGTGTGATCCCAGCGCAGGTCTCATCACAGTACGTTCTCATATACAGTCCTAACCTCTTTTGGTTAAAAAGCTTTGTTTTTAATGTTGCTTATAAATAAACAGTTGGGTCTTGGATATTTCGTTAGGAATTTTAGTTGTAGCTGATATTTAAGACATTACCTATGATTAATAATTTTAAAACTCCAATTTGAATATAAACTTCTTTCCTTTTTAAAGGTTTTTGACGACTGCCATGAAGGGGGTGAGATTTCACCATCTAACTGTGTCTACATGACAGAGTGGCTCGAATTTTAACAGAGAGCTACAAACTTTAGTGACATTTTGCAAATGAAGTTCCTTTGGGAGCACGTAATTTAACTCATGTTGGGACATCAAATTGCCTTGAAAGCAAACTTCAAGATACAGACTTGCTGCCATGAAAAAATATTTTGTTATCTATGAAGACTAAATTTGTATTGGTAGAGTAGAGAACAGAACATGAAGCAGGTAAGGTTAGTAGTGAAATCCATTCTTCAGTGAGTAACATACTTTGTAACGTCTGGAAGACCACCTTCGGAAGCTGTCAAGACTTCTGATGATTCGCAGGAAAAGCAGCCAGCAAGTCCACGCTCGCCAAGTACCGCGCTAACGGCTAGAGCTTTAAATACCCATTTCAAAGTTATTTATTCTTTATAAATAAGAATAATGGCTCACTCTCACCATTTCTGTTTTCTACGTTCTCAGTGGTTTCATTGAGAAGAAATTTAAAATAGTGAGAGCAGGAGTAGCGGGGGAGCACGCACGCCTGGAGCCTGAGTGGGAGAGAGAGTGTAGACCCCTTTTCCACACACCGGATTCTTTTTTGTCAGAAATAATCCTTTAGAAGATTATGCCTCTGTACTTAACCTCACACCCAAATGACGACCGTTGTCAAGGATATGTTTTCGGTGCATAAATATTAATCTTTCTCATCCTAAAGGGAATACTTTGACTTGTCCTTCTTTGTTCGTCTTACAGGTTTCACTCTGTAACTCAACTGTATTATTTGCTAGAATTTCCCCCCAGATTCTTATTTAATTAAAATTAAAACTAAAAATAATCCATTGCTCTCCACTCACTCTATTTGGGGGGAAATTCTTCTTTTCTTATCCTGTTTTAGATTCGTTTCCTTTCCTTATTGTGTTCTGTTTGGGGGGCATGAGGCGGGGACTAGGGTATGTATGTATGTATGTGTGTATATATTTAAATGGAGATGCTGGGGATTGAACCTGGGACCTCGTGCATGCTGAGCGTGCACCCTACCACTGAGCTATACCCTCCCTGCCTTATTCTGTTACAAAAATCATGGTGTAATAGGTCTAAACTAAGCAGAAAGCCATTATAATTGTCCTCATTTCTAGTAACACTTTCAGTCCGTCTTCAGCTGCATAGAAAACAACAGGTTCCCTGATGTATTGTTGCACAGAACATAGCCACAGGGCGTTTTAGGATCTCAGCTGTTGTATTTCCACTTCATAACGCCACTTAAGTTTCTGTGTCCAGGCCAAAAGCATGGAAGCAAGGGAAAGCAAGGCTTCTCCTGGGGCCTGAGTTCAAACACCAATTTGGAGAACGAGCATAAGGGTTATTTTGAGATAAATGGGGTAAGTAAAATAAAATTCAGCCCACAACCAGTTTTTAAAAACCAGATAAACTCTGTGGCCAGCTCTACAGAATTAGCATTTGGTGACACTAGTGCTTTGAAACAAAGACCCTGAATTTCAAGTGCTGGATAAGTGTAAGACACAGAAGAGTGGGAGCGTGAAGCTACGGAGGGCTTCCGGTCCACCCTCCGTGACAGCCGGGACGAAGAACACCTGTCCTTCCTGGGACCCAGCCTGCCGCAGAGGCGCAGCCTTGTGTAAGGAGAAAACTGAATTTGAAGGAGTTAGAAGCGGAAAGAAGGAGCTCGTTTATGTTTTAAATACAGACTTTGCATTATGTGTTAATAACCAGAGATTTTTTAAAGCTTACAATCAATGGCTAAAACAAAAGTATTCCTTGCCTACCAGAATGAAGAGCCCCTTTAAATTTTTTCCATTAGCTTGTCTTTCATTCTCAGCATTAACTGAAGAAGAAAAGAGACAATAATTTAAAAATACAACTCCTCTGATGGCAGTTAAATGGATATTTCCCCTACAGGAGAAGATCGTGACCAGAACAAATTGCGGGCTCTAGACTTACACCACCACCAAAAAATCAGATTCCAAGTGAAATCCTAACCCTTACAGTTTACTTCCATTTAGAGTAAGGTACTTTGCTTTCCTGAAAACAGATACTCCCTGGCATCTATCAAGGCCCCTCTCTCTGCTTTATAATGATCTGTAGAGAGTCAAACAGAATCATGAGGGGCCATGATTTGATGGTTTAAATGAACAGTTCATGTGGGATTCTTCCATGAAACAAAAGTAATTTCACACTGAGTTAATTTTACTTTGATGGTGGGTGAGAGAAGAATAAAACACGTGACCAGTGCTGTTCTATCAGGATGGGAATGCTGTGTATCTGCTGCCCAGTAAGGTAGCCACTAGTCACCCCTGGCTGGTGAGCACCTGAAACGCGGCTTCTGTGAATGAAGAACAGAATGTTTTATAGCTCCCTGTGGTTACTGCCTACCAAACTAGGCGGCACAACTCAACAATCACACAGCTCTGTACTCAAGTTATTTTTAAAGGAATGAAGAGTATCGAAATTAATTATTTCTCAATTACATGTATTTATTTTTTTGGAGGAAGAAAACAACAAAGTATTATGAACTGTTATTGGTATAAGTTTGTGATTTTTTTAAGAAGGGACTCCAAAAACAAAAAAAAGGCAGAGAATAAGCAGAACAATTACTATTCCCAAATAATTCAAATAAAATCAAACTTTGATTATAGGCGTGGTTAAATCAATGCTAAAAAACAACCTCTCTAAAAACATTATTCAACTGATTTATCTACTTTATGTTTCACTAACTTGTCAAATAAGTTGTTTATCTTTATTTTTAATGATAAAAGTAATACACATTGAGTGCAACAAACTCAAATAACCCTCAGGTGTATAACGTGAAAAAGATGTCCACCACACCGTGCCTCCCAAATTCCCGTCCCCTAAAAGGACTACTGCTAGAAGTTTAGAGAAGCTCTCCTGGCTTTGAGTACATTTAGAAATCAGAAGACTTTTCAGGTTAAAGTGATGACTCTAAATCTTCGTTAGGTGTGAACAGTTACGGGCATTCACGTCACAGCAAGTGTCAGGTGTGAATTCGCGGGGGATGGTTAGAGACAATACTGGGGATCATAACAGCCCAAAAATGTTAGGAAATAAAGAAGGGTTTTTCTGAGGGAGTATGATTAGAGAAAAAATCATGGAATGATGCTGAAAGCTCTAAAAGGCCTTGGAAGTTACAGAGGTAGAACATTCACAGAACAAAATTTGAGGGATGGAAAGATGAGTTTGAAAAATATTTAAGACTTCGTAGCAAAATCCAAATTGTTCCCATGATTTCATCCTTTGACACTGTGTCCGTTTCTCGGCTTCACAGAGAACCATTTAAGCTCCTGTCTAAGCAAAGCAGCAGATGTCACAAAAGGATGGCTTGGACTTTGTGTGCCTTGCGGTGTTTGCAAACTTTGTACTTGCACTGTAGTTGCCAACTAACAGACCCCATATGTTTATGGACTGAACATAATTCATGTACATATGGATTATACATATATACATACACTCACAGGCCCTAAATACAAAACCACCATATGAATTTTTTTCCTTGAAAAATCAGGAAATTGGCAATACGCTGCTGAATTCCCACATGGCAACAATCCAGACCGCACGGCAGGAGCTCTCCACGTCGCCCTAATCCTCACCAGTCTGGTCTTACACTGACCAGGTCGGCTGTGACCTAGTCTGCACTGGGAGTCAGGAAACCTGGGTTTCATTTCTGTCTTACTCACTTTGGACAGATAAGGGTGGTTAAGCCGTCCCATGTCCCTTATCAAATGGGAAAAATACTGCTTTAGGTCATAGCAATTCAAGGTGATGAAGAACTATGGAAAATGAAAATGCTGTTTTTAATTTAGTTTGAACATGGTAACTTGTGTGTTTTTTAGGCTTCTTTGGAACTCAATTTGACCTGCTTTGTGTGTCCAGCAGTCACCTGAGAACGGCGGTCTGTAACTAGTCTGATCGCTGCCCCGCTCCCACGCCCACGTGCCCGGCAGCAGGCGCCACGCCGACTACGCCTGCGCGCTCAGCATGGACCTGACCACGCCGACCAGCTCGTGAAACTCCGTGTTCTGAAAGTGGCCGCGGTCGGTGAACCTGTACAGTTTGGCTTCCAACCTGTCGGCCACCTCTTGTTGCTCCTTCCAAGGAAGGAAGGGGTCATCGGTGGAGCCAAACTGCACAATATGAGGGCAGTTGGCTTTGATCTTCTCCCACTGCCAGGGGCGGCTGAAGTACCCTGTGAGAGAACACAGAAGCTGTCAGCGCCCCGGCCACTTCCACCCCAGCCGCGCCGGTGCAGACGCAGCCGAGACACAAAGAACCCGAGCCTCAGAGCAGCTGGAGGCCTTTCTCTAGTTTTCGAATCCGTGGGGCTTGATACCATAGCTCCCCGTGAAGGGCGAGTACGTGGCTCCAGTAAAGCCAGGCCTCTGGGGTTCAGGTCTAGACTGTGGCTTAGGAAGTGGCCCACCACCGGCAAGCACCTGACATATCTAAAGCTGGGCGGCAAACATTGCTCAGACGCTGTTAGGTTTTTTGAGCCTGCGTCTAGTGACCTGAACCCGCAGCCCCGTGACTCGAGGGGCTCTCCCGGGGGTTCAGCCTTCGGACTCACCGCTTGCACGCTCGTTCTCATCCCCCAGGTCGGACGTGTACGCGGACACCAACACGATGGCGTACACCTGGTGGGTTTCTGCGTACCTGGAGGGAGAGGGACGGTGGCGGCTGGTGTTTAGTGTTGAATCGGATCACCAGGAAGTCAGCAAGCCTCCCGAGAGCCCACTCGTTTACGCTCACGGGGCGCGCGCCGTGCGCTGCTGAGGCTGCACAGCGAAAGAGCTCGGAGGCCGGAGAGCGGCAAGCCCGGCAGTCAGCTCGCCTGGGCTACCCGAGTTTCTTCTCGTTTTTCAAACCTCTAATGTGATCCTTTCTGAATGAACACACAAAGTGTAGTCATTCTTCCACGCGTGCATTAATCTACCTTGAGTGTGCACTGACACTACTTGGTTGGTTACCGTGCAGATTCCCAGGCTCTGCCCCAGAGCATCTGATCCAGATGACTGGGAGGGAGCGAGGCTCAGGAACCTGCACTGTAAGGCCGGACCCCTCCCCCAATCCAGGTGACGGATGTGAGTGGTCTGTGACTGTACCATCCCAGAGTTGTGCCTCTTTTCCGCACACTCCGGGTTGCACTGTGTTACTTGTTTGTGTCCTATTGTATCTGTCTCCCCCAAGGGCATCCCTTAAGGGCAGGTCTCAGCCTTCTTGATTTTGGTGACCCTGATGCTAAGTACAGTGCCTGGCAAGTAGACACTCAGCTAACCACGTGTAGACAGCTCCCTCACTCGGCAGACAGGCTACGGAAGGACAGAGAACGCTAACACTTTCAGGAGGCCTTCGTGCCAGGCAAGATTTACGGTTGATGTTTTGTTCCTGGACCTAAACTTTTTCCCCCAACCTTTTGTTTTGAAAAATTTCAAATGTACCAAAAAGAACAACAGGCGCCTAGATTCATTCATTTTTGCTACATTTCACCCCTAAATACTTGAGCACGTATGCCAAGAACACGGCCATTCTCCTATAAAACCACACCTGGTACATGAAACACTGAGACAGTGAGATTACCTGTATTTGTTTTTTGCCACCTGTACCAAAAATGTTCTTTAAAACTGCTTTTCAACCCTAGATCCAGTCAAAGATCATGCATTTGGTTTCAGGACTCTTCCGTCACTTTTAAATTTTGTGTTTAAATGACAATGACTTTTTGAAGAGTTTAAGACCAGTTATCTTGCACGTTACCCCCTAAACTGAATTTGTCTGTTTCTTCAGGCTCAGGCTGCAGTTAAACATTTTGGGCAGGACCATTACACAGGCAATGCTGGGTCCTTCCCACTCCCTCACATCAGGGCCCAGGGAGCTAGGCTGTCACATCACTGGTGAGATTGTCTGATTTCTTAAAGTGATACCCCTCAGATCTCTCCACTGCAAAGGCATGATTTCCCCTTTGTGATAAATAAGTAATCTGTGGGGTGGTCCTCTGTGGTTGTGTCAATATCCTGTTGCCCTGTGATAGTACACCCCATGGTTTTGGCATCTGGTTTCTCCTTGCCTACCTTAACTTCAGAAGTTAATTTTTAGAAGATGCAATCCTGCAATAAGTTTCAGGGGTCTTGTTTGTTTTTTGAGGGGCAGGTAATTAGGTTTATTTATTTTATTTTAATGGAGGTACCGGGGATTGAACCCAGGACCCCATATATCCAGGCAAGCACTCTACCACTGAGCTATCCCCTCCCCGCATTCCATGGGTCTTTAAAAGAAGGCACATCGTAAATAGTCAGTGGCTTGAGAAAAATTCATCTGGCCTTGAGTTGGTACAGATTTCCACATAAAAGGATTTCTTCATTTTCCAGATAACCCTTGGCAGCTTATAAACACTGTGACTGTACCCTAATTCTGTAGGTGCACATTGGAAAGCATCATGCTCATCGCTTTGACTGGTGTGGCTGAAAGGTTATGGAATTTGGCAAGATTTCTCTGACAAGCAGTTCACGTGACATCCTGAGGGACTGCTTGGGACAACAGGCTAGACAAAAACTATAATCCTTTGTCATCCAGCCTAGCAAATATGGAAGAAACCCAACCCTAAGAGGCTTATTCAGCCAGCTAAGTCCTTACCCTCTAGGCCTCATAAGCCTAAAGGGAGAGAGGTGATGTTCCAGTGGAGAGCACCAGGGATGTGCTGTGAATTCTGAGACTGAGGGCTGGGGGTGGGGTAACAGCGTCCACCCTCTAACAGATACTTATCAAGCACCCACCATGTGCCAGACACTCTTGTAGGCACCAGGGTTTCAGGGTCAGAGTGAACAAAGTCCCATCTTCAAGGGGCTTGCATCCTATTGGCAGGAGACAGATGAGAAATCAACAGGATAGCAGATTGGGAGAAGTGTTATGGATAATAAAGGGCATTATAAGCTATACAGGGGATGAGACTCAACGGGGTGAGGCTGCTGGTTCACACTGAGTGATTGCAGAAGGCCTCACTGAAAGAGGACATTTGAGGAGAGACAAAAAGGAGAGAGCTGTGCAGGTATCTAGGGACAGAGAGCCCCAGGGAGAACAGGGCAAGCACAGGCCTAAGGTTGGTGCACGCGCGGCACGTCCGAGGACCTGTGCTGCGCTGTGTAGGCCAGGCTGGGGGCGGCGGAGGGGGGACAGTAGAGATGACATCAGGGTAAGTAGGGGGCCCTGAAGGCTGAGAACTTCTTCTGAGGGTGACGGGAAGCCGCTGGGGATGGGAGGCTCTTCTGTTTCAGAAGGATCACTGTAACCCAGTCTGAGCAAAAGTATTTTTTAATCCATTAACTGAACCTGGAAGGAATTAGGACAGATTACGTTACCACTTGTGAGGTCAGCACTGTTTCCTCTGCAGTGGAAACTTAAGATGTGCCCAAATTTCCCAGGCGAGCTCGGCCGGAGCCCACAGAGCAGATGACAATTCAACAGGGACCACACCTCATGGCTGCGACGGCCCCGGAACTGTGGCCTATGATGATGGTGTTTTCGTCACAGTGCAGCTCCGCCTCCATGAAGGGCAGCCAGATGCTCTCCCGAGCTGTGACTGAGGTTCAGGGGAAAGAAAGTCTGTCACTTGATAGGGACGGTCTTAGTCTAAGGCTGCCCCGCCTTCCTAACAGGACACTCAGCCGGCGCAGGACCACAGGGGGACACGGGGCTGCTTTAACAGAGCCGAAGCTGTGTGTTGCTGTTCAAAAGACTCAAATCTGTAGTTCTGGTATATAGTTTTTTTATTTTTTTTTAAACTATGCTCTTATAAGAATAAACCAAGGAAATAATAAAGCATTTATCTGAAGCTTTAATGTAAACTTTCCAACTTAAAAAAAAGTTTTTTAAAAAAACTCTTAACAATACTATCACTCAAGTTCACGGCCATATATATTCTTTCTTCCCAGAAAAGTAAATTCCTGAGACAAGTCACAGACATACTTAGAACAAAAGGAGCAGTGTTACATTTTAAAATGAGGATCTCATAGAGATAAGGCAAAGTTTTATCCTATCCTGCTTCAAATGAAAAACCCATAAATTTGGGGGGGGGTAATTAGGTGTTATTTGTTTGTTTGTTTGTTTGTTCACATATTTATATTTTAATGGCGGTACTAGAGACTGAACCCAGGACCTGGTACATGCTAAGCATGTGCTCTGCCACTGAGCTGCACCCTCCCCCTACCCATCAATTTTGCCTGAAAATATCTGACTTATAGAACGGAAAATCAAGTTGCTTACAGAGTTGAAAATTAAGTTTTACCAAGCCCAGGTCCTCTTCTTGATCCTTACTAGAACCTTCTGTAATGTGTTTTGGTTTGCACCCTCCTCCCCCAAATCCGTGCCATCCTTCACTGAGGTACGTGTTCCTTCTGGCTTCTCTACTGGGCTATCCCTGTTCTCTACCTGTAAAACGGCAAAATCAAAACCCGACAAGAGGAGGCTTTTCAAAAACACGTTTAAAAAACTTACTTGGGTCAGGCATGTTTTTAGCCAAACACTGGAAACCAGGTATCTATGACATGAGGGGGAAAAAAAGCTATAATAAAGAGCTTAATTACAACTAATATTTTGCTAATAAGAAGTGAGACATCTGATATGATCTTTATCAATCCAGTAAGTATTTGCTTATATAATGAAATGAAGTGGGTCAAGGGGCAACAGGATTACACATGAATATACAATCCCTCCTCACAGCCTCCATCTGTCTGGAGTTCTCTATCTAGCCAGCTCTGTAGATGGATGTGTGTGTGTGTGTGTGTGTGTACGTACACTTGCACATCTACTCTTATCGCCAGTGGCATATACGTTTAGGGAGGGCATGAGTGAAGAGGGTTTAGACAAACTGACCTGGAGCCAATCAGACTGTGCTCCAGGGAGTAGGTAATGAACTACAGAAACGTGCTACAGAAAGTTGGAAACCCCATCCACTCGGACAGCTCCAGCCCTGAGATTTGGTTTGTAGCTTTGGCCATGGCTTTTAGCCACAAGCCTGCAATTTCATTCTAGAGATCAACTCTAGAGTTCTAAAGGTTGGCAACTCAGGAAGCAGTTGTATTGCCTGGTTAAGGAAGCGGGATTAAAAAAAAATCAACATGCACAAGACAACCCTGAGTAAGATGTCATTTTTACAACTCTCACAAAGAAGCCAAATTTAACAACACATTGTTTAAAGGATACGCACACAGGTTGCAAAAGTACATTAATTTTTAAAACCGGAGCAAATGAAAAAACACATTTCAGATGGCAGGGAAATGCGATGGGCAGACACATAGGTGGCTTCGAAGGTACTGGTAATAATGTTCTTTCTAGATTTCAGTTTGGTGATGGATTCTCTGGGATTCATTACATTATGCTCCAGAATGTACATAAATGTTACTTATGTTATTTGTATATACTAATATTACATACTGAAATTTTAAAAATCTGAAGCAGGGAGCAGAAGAAACATGTTGAATTACCTAGAAGTCCCAAATCTGACTCCGCAGGACATATGGGGAGGGGGCTCGCCTCTAGCTCTAAGAGGAGGCGCCTTGTACTCGGAGCCCTCATACAAATCCACCAGGCAGTTTCACCAACCCAATTCTGACCACTAGTCGTAGTTAAAGCCAGGGCACCAGGGGAGGAAGGAAAACACACAGGGCTCCGTGCAAGCGGAGGGTGCGGGGAGGGGTCGCGCGTTCAAACTTCAGTCCCCGGGCCCCCGCCCCGCCCCAGCTCCAGGCCGACCTCCCAGCGCGCGAGGCGCGCCTCTTACCTGCTCCAGCCCCTTCTTCACCCAGCCGTACCAGCCTTGCGTGGCCACATCCCCGCCGCCGTTGCCTGGAACAATGACAGCCTTGCTAGGAGAAGCCATGAGCCTATCTGACCCAAGGCACCCGGAGCCCTATCCCCGCCAGGTGGGGGTGCCCCGCGGCATTCCGGGAATTGTAGTTCCGGGGCGCCCACCGCGCATGCGTCTCCCGCGGGACTCCGTACCGCACGGGACCGCAGAAAACAAGCCAGGGGAGATGCTATCACGTGTGAATCAGCTTCTACCTGCCTCTTCCCAGCGCTCTCTTTTCCTCCCTGACTTAGGATGGGCAGCGACTTGTCCAGAATGTGTTATCTCTTTACTGGAGTTACTGATACGTCTATAGAAAAGTGTGTTTTGCTCTCAAAGAAGCAGAACACAAACCGTTTCATTAGTTGAGGACTCCTGGAATCCTTATGATTTTTCCTTTTGATTTCAAAACAGTTCTTAGTATACTACTCATTTTTTTTAAAAAAATGAAATAATGCCATTTGCAGCAACACGGATGGACCTCGAGATGATCATCGAAGTCCGTGAAAGACAAATACCACTTCTGTGAAATAAAATTCATATTTTATGGCAAGACAAGAAAAATTTAAATATAAAAAATTCTTCATTGCCTTTTTGATGCAGGAAAAATGGATATGGGGGGTGAGGAGGGCCATGTCCCAGGTCTTGGTTGAGTCCCTGGGACACGCGGGTCCTTGGCTTCGCACAGGAAAGCATTCAAGAGCAAGCCACAGTTGAGTAAAGGTAGATTTATTTAGATACATAACGCATAGAGTGTAGGCTGTTTCAGAAGGCACAAGAAAGGCCAAGAGGTGTGGGGGTTGGGTGCTCAGGTAAAAGTAAAAGTAGGTACACATTCCATAGACAGAGAGCGGGCCCATCTCCAAAGAGGAGGAAGCAAAAAGGGAGGCCAGGAGGCACGGTGTTGCCAGTTTTTATGGGCTTGGTAGCTTCACATGCTTATAAGTAGGAGTACTATTCCAGCTACCCTGGGGAAGGAGCTGGGATTCCCAGGAATTTGGCTACAGTCCACTCTTAGACCATCTGTGGTTAGCCTTGGGACTGTCATGTCACCTGTGGGCATGCTAATCACCATGCTAATACGTTACAATGAGCATATAATGAAGCTCAAGGTCTTGTAGAAGTCAAATCTCCCACCATCTTAATCCTCAAGGCCAACTGGGAGTTGAACCTTCTGCTATTTTGGTGTTAATGGCTGTCATTCCTTGAATGGCTGTGCCCTGCCCCCTTCCCTCCTGTCTCACTTTGGCCTCCTCTCTCCCCTCACTGTGCAGTGTATCTGCATCATGTATCAACAAAACCTCCCCACTGGGAGGAATCCTTGTTCAGCCATAAAGAGCAACCCTCTCCTAGCACCAACAAGACAACTTCTTAAGAGATATCATTCCTTCTTGATCTTATAAGGGTCATATTGAAGGAGGAATAATACAATGGCCGCACTTAGGCTAACTAACTCTTGGCTTTATGCTTGCTGCTTGCTCTTAGGACAGTCAGCAAACCTGACCGACTGGTCACTGCTACCAGCCCCAGGCTCATTGTTAAAGCTGAAGCTATTGGTTTTACTGTCTTTACTTTACTCTGGCAATTAAAATTTATAATCACGTTTGGCTTCTGAGTCGTACTCCAGGAAGAAGTTCACAAAACTGTAACCCTGCAAAATAGGCTAATTTGTCAAAAAGGAGAAACATGCCACAGGAGATAAAAAGAAAGAAGTTAGCAAAAATGTTTGGCTATCTAGACAGGCAAGTTTGATTTGTTCCACCTGCCAGAAATCCAATTTGAATCCAGTATCTTATAACTGATAAGTCTATATGTGTTTGTATGCATCATTATGTGTGTTGTAGATACGTGGCACTGCCAAAGTTCTTTTTAATTGGCTTAAGGAAAATTAAATGCTTATATAAATACTCAGAAATATAAAAGAAACTGATTAGAATTAAAATCAGGTTCATGTGATCTAAAAAATATTCAGCACTGAATCTATACCTGGTATTTGAAGCTAGCTTAAGCTTACTGGTTTAATTAATATAGACATGTCTTAAGATTCATTAATGTTGAGCAATTAATAAGGGAGGGACAATCAGGAAACAATAGTGCAGGGGAGGGTATAGCTCAGTGGTAGACTGCACGAGCAGGAGATCCTGGTTTCAATCCCCAGCACCTCCACTAATAAATAAATAACCTAATTACCCCTGCCCCCCCCCAAAAAAATCAGAAAGAGACAATAGTATAGCCTTGGGGCAGGGTCCTGGTTACCAAGACTGTGGCCCCCAGGATCATATCCTTGCTTCTCCCTCGAGTAGAAACCAATTACTTTTATTTAAACCTCAAGAGGCAAAGAGAAGCAGCAAGAACTGGGTAGAACCAGTGAAGCCGAGGATGGCGGAGGGTTTGCCTTCCAGTGGACCTTGAGCCTCGTGTATGTTCGTTGTGATGCATTAGCATGCTAAGTGACAGACCCACCAGTACTGTGACAGGGGACGAGTGCCATGACAACAACTGGAAAAGCCCGCATACAACGGTGGAGAAGAAAGGCGACTGGCTCCAGCACGCCCAGGAAGAGTACAGGATGGCGGAGGCCTCCCATAACAGTCGGCCTGGCCTGGGCAGCAGCCGGACCTGCCTCTGCCGGCCCTCTTGGCTGACCTTTCCCGGCTCAAGCACTTTCTTTCCTTTCCCTCTTCTGAGCAGTTAAGCGGCTGCTCCCTCTGCCCCTCTGCCTCTACTGCTTGGATTCTTTCACAGGACCCACACTTTGATGGGCTTCCTAACTTAGAGGTCCCTGTACCCACTAACAGCCTCTCAACAAAGCTGTTTACATTTTTAAAATAAATTAAAACATGCAGAGGTATTCCTGTAGCCAAGTGGCTGTTTGCTTGGTGGGTTTTAGTTGAGGAAACAATACTACTTCCTTAACAGAAACTGTGGGCTGAAAAAAGATCTACCCTTCCTTAAGATGTTTATTTTTCCTTAAGATTCATTTTAAGATTTGTCTTTCTTCTTGTAACCAAACCAGTTTCTTTGGCCCAACATGCTGCAAACAAAATGCTCAGATGCCAGGATTTGCAGCAGAGGAAGGGTTTATTCTCCAGGCAGCCATGCTCAAGACAGGAGAACAAGCTTCAGATGTGCCTCCCCGAAGGTGAAGGGCTTGGGGTATGTATGAGATAAAGAGGCTGAGTGGTCTGAGGTGTGGGGCAAGAGGACTGGAGGCAAGAAAAAGGTGAAGTCGTCGGTGTTCTGTGCAGGTGTGTGAGTTACAGGCTTCCTCATGGGGCCACTGTTCAGAAAATGGCAGTATTGGCCTAATCCAAGGGTGGAGTTTTGGGTTGTTTGACATCAAAAGGTCACCTGTTAGCACTTGCACAGCACAGCTGAATGGTCAGTGGTCTCAACTGGGCAACTGAGCAAGACTAGTCCCTGAAAAGTAGTTTAAGTAGTGGTTACTATAGCGACCCATATCCAGAGGTGTTATCTATAGGAGGTGGTTGAGGAGTCTTGTGACGTGTTGCCTAAGCTACGTGAAGCTTGGAGGGTATGCAGTTTGCAAGAATAATTTAAAACAAGCTCAGTCAGTGAAGGCAGGTTGCAGGCCGTGATTTAGTAAGCGCGTTACAGTCGAAGGGATCTAGCTGCTGGCTGCCCTCGCTTTCACCCTCACTCACGCGGTGGTCAGCTCTCCTCCGGGCTCTCACCTTTCTCGGGCTGTTTATGTCAATGGTGATCTCAGAGATGATACAATTACACGTGAATCCACTCTGCTTTCTTTTCCACTTTTTATCTCTTGGGCAAGCATTCCCTAAACTTGAGAAGGAATAGCTTGGTTTCAAAACTAAAATATCAACATTTTAATGAAAAAAATTTTTTTCATTTGAAAACGCACACTGAGGTCTGCTACATCGTTTGTAAAACTGAAAGACTGGTTCTCAACAGCACTTGCCACGACAGTTTTGGTTTTCCTGTGGGATTCGGCCACCCTCCTCTGAGGCCCTTCTTCTGAATTACCGTCCTCTTCCTAGACTTTGCTTTTCAGGTCAGGCTCTCTTTTGTAGGCTGTGTGTATCTAACTAAGTCTTCAAATTCATTGTCCTGGCCTTCTCCCCTCTTCTGTGTTTACTTTTCTATTTCTTTTACACATACATACATTTTACCCACCTTGAGGAGAAAGGGAAATAAAAGCAAAAGTTGTCTGGGGTCTTGAAGGACGTGTGAGAGCTCATCTGGAAGAGAAGCGAGGTGAAGAGGTTCCCTTAGTAGAGAGGAGGCCGTGAAAGTGGGCACAGAGGCAAGACCCAGAACCTGTGGGCTGGGAAAGACAGTATCTCAGTGCCGCAGGATCAAGGTATGTACCTCACCGAGGCCCTTGGCACCACAGCAAGGGGCCTCTACCTTATCCTGTGAGTGATGGGGAAACTATGTAGCATTTTAAACAAGGGAGTATGAGAATCAGAGGAAAAAAATCTATCTGGAAACCAACGTGAGATTTGGATTTGGCAAAATTCAGACAAAGAGATCATTCAGGAGGCTGATGCAGAAATATAGTGAGAGAGGATGAGGCTCTGAACCAAGTAGGCAGATGGAACTGAGAAATATTTAGAATCACAAGTCAGCAGAACCAAGATCCATTGTCAGTTTCAGGACTGGGGGCTTAGAGATGCAAGGGAGGAAAGCAGCTTTCCCTTCTACCCTTCCTGGCCGCTGGCTGGGGCTCGAAGGACAGGTTAAGAGAAAAGTACACACATCTCTCTAACATAACTCGACAGGGGAACCTTCATTAAGGAAATGAAGACCCAAAGAGCAGTTAAACCTGATTGTTTTTATTCTAGGTTTGGTGAAGAGGGGAAAGTCGTGGAGAAATGTGATAGGACAAATGGATATAAGCTTAGGGCATTAAACTGGGAGAAACTTAGCAAGGAATGACTCCAATTCCCCTGAGTGTCCCTGCATCTTCAGAGGTAAGGCTGCTCCTTTTCTCATGGTAAAGAAAGGGCATCTCTCACATGAAGGTCTTACAACATGCTTCAGGGGAGATGGGGAGGTCAGAGAATCCTTCCTTGCATCTACCATTTCTCAGACCCCTTCGTTTACAATATTCAATATGCCAAGGTGCCATATGTTGGGGTAGCGTGTTCTGAACCCCATCAGAGATAAGGAGGAACCAAGGATGGCTTCTAGGCTGAGAAACTGGGAGGAGAACGGTATCTCCAAGTGAAACAGAAAGTATAAGTGGCAGAGGTTAGTTCAGGGGCAAGGAGAAATGTGACTTCCACTTAGAATATTTGAGACAGAGGTGCCCAAGAATACCCAGAGACATTCGGCAGGTCGGTGAATATATGACTGTCATGTTGGTTAGAGATGTCTGAGCCAGAAATACAGAATTTAGATTATAGATGATGGATGATATGTCAGAAAGATTGCAAAAGGTTTTGAAATAATCAAGAGAAATTACAAAGTGAACTTTCCATGGAATGTTGGGCATTTCTTAAAGAACCCCTTGGTGTCATCTGATCATAAGGGGTGTCTGCCTTTGTCTTTGACTGATTTACTTCTCAACTCTGTAGAGATAGAAACTAACTTACAGAAAGCTGATGGTAGTGCAGATGTTTCTAAAGAGGCCTTCACCTCTTGCTGTGAGAGTGCGAAATGGTTTACTAACTTTGGAGAATTCTAATAAATGAGATCATTACAACTCTTAAAGGAACTCTGTTCTAAATGACTTATGTAGGGAAGAATTTTCCACCCCCAAATATGTCTCTTGGCATATTAATTTTTTAAGCTGGTTATTTTCTAAGAAACTGCATGCATGGAAAAAACTCTGAGCCAAGTAGGAATTACTCTTTTGTAAGAAACATTTATATTTGTAAGGGAAATTTCCCTATGTAGGGTGTCTCCCTCCTATACTTGGAAGAGGGGGATGATCAAATCTCTAGAAAGTTATCAGTGGAGAAGACAATGACTTAAGTCTGCCTAACAATTTTACACTTTTTTTTTTACTGTACTCTTCCTGGTGATTTCCCATAACTGACTCCCTACCCTCAGTATCTTCTTTTGTCTTTAGCTGAGGATGGTAGTTAAGGTGAGGGCCTTAAACATTCTGGCAAGTAACTCGGTTTCCCTCGGTCTCTCCCATGTACATATGTTATTAAATTTTTATTTGATTTTTCTTCTGTTAAACTGTCTCATGTCAATTTAATTCTTAGGCCAGCCAGAAGAACCTAGGATAGAGAAAAATTTATTTCTCCCCAAAACTTATCAAGATAACGATACAGTAACATAAATCAACTATTCCTAAAATTTATAGAAAGTAAAGAAATTAAACTTCTAATATTTTACATGCGCTAGATTTAAAAAAAATCCTTATTACAGACATTTCTACTACAAAAGAAATCCACGTTCAAATAGCCAAAGCAAATCTTTAGCAACTGATATTCGCTTAACATTTGGTATAAGAAAAACACCAAACACCCAGCTATGTCTTTTCTCACTGTCAAGTATAATACGAACATGAACTTTATTTTGAGTGTGTTTCCTTACTGAGAGAATTGATTTGAACTTCCTAAACTTATACGAGTTTAATTACCAAAAAAACCTAACATTACTCTAACGTACTGTTTTAGGAATATGAAAAACTGTAAACTTGTTCAACAAAACTAAATCATTATTCAACAATTTTAAAATATTAACAGCAATTAAGTTTCACGGCACATCGACTTAAAACTAGTTTCTTTGTTAGTCATCTTAAAGTTGGTACTAATACAGAGATAACTAATGGTAATTCCTGGATACCTAGGTATGTTCTAAGCATACGTTTACGTTTCTATAATATTGTTTATTTTTATATGCTGTAGAGAGGCTACATCTCTACGTCAGGTTGATAGAAGTGCCCAGTTTTGCCACTTATAATAAGGTGTAAATAAGGTGCAGTGGCCGAAGAAAGTAGTGCTCTGTGTAGTTAGCAGTTTTGTTAGCCTTAAAACGCTTGAACACGACAGTTCCCCATTATTCACCTTCTCACGAAGGATGACAAGGACAGGGAGGAACTGTGCGCTACCGCCAGGATCTGCACACAGCCCAAAGGCACTGGGGCCGGCCGGAAAGAGAAACCCTGCGTCGGGAAGACGCGTAACTATACCTGTCGAACGTTGCGCGCATGCGTCCCCAAGCATCCTGCGCCCCGCCCCTTTCCGTGCTCTGACGCCTCCTTCCGGCCGGCTTCGGTTTCCTTCGCGAGGAGCCGCGCCTTCTTCCGGGGTCACACGTCATCGTTCCCGCTTCCCGGTAACTAAGGCGATGAGGGGGACTCCCCACTGAGGCGAGCGGACGTGTTACTGAAGTAGAGCGAACTCCTGAGGCGGGCTGGCTGCGCCTAGGAAGCAGTCCGGAAGGCCCATGTGTTTCTTGAAGGAGAAGCGTTTAGCGGTGAACGTGGAGAGACTTGTTTTCTGAGGAACTGTGATTTTTGAAGAGCGAAGCACCACTCTTGCCCTCTTCCAAAATGGCGACGCAGCTTTTCTGAGTGTCTTACTTCCGCTCGCCCACCGGGGTGGTACTCTTTGATTGGCCAGGGACGGCGCCGTGGCGTGACGCACGGGGGAGCTGACCAATCGGCTGAGAGCTGAGCTGGACTTAGCGTTAGGAGCCGGAGCCGGGTTCTTAACAGCAGTGGGGCCAGGTGAGCGGCTCCGGCCAGGTGAGTGGGGAGCACAGGTGATGGGAGGCCAATGGCCTGTACTAGAGTCTCTCCAGGGGGCCAGTGGGTTGCTCCTGGGGCGAGACTTTTTCCCGGAGGGCCGGGGAACTGAGGGGATCCATGACTCAGGGGTCTGCCGAAAGTGACCGGGTCGCAGCCAGCTGGGGCTGCTGGCTGCTTCTGGCGCGGGATCCCTCGGCATCGCGGGGGGCCGGAAGGATCCAAAGTACATTCTACAGTTGAGGAGCTCGAGATTCAGCTTAAGTGACTTACTTTTCGTGACAGCTGGAACTAGAATCCAGGTTTTCAGACTCCCTTTAGGAATTAAACCTTGCTTAAATTTAGCGTGTCCTGAAAAGTTATGCCTCGGTGGGATGAAGGACACAGATTTTGTTGTTGTTGTTGTTGTTAGATACTTATAAAAGATCTTTACAATTTCATTTATTCATTAATTAATTCATCCATTCAGCCATTAACCTCTTCTGAAGCCCTTCCTCTTTGAAAATATGATGTTAGTCATGCACACAATTTGCATAGATACAGAAAATTTATTGACCCTGTGAATATGTGTCCAGAGTTAAGAATCCATTCTCTGGAAGAGGAGGAGAGGCAGTGGGAAACAGAGCAGGGGACGAGGGATGGAGGTAGTGCCTTTTAATAATGAACTGTTTTGAGAATGGGAACAGTCATTTAATGAAGTCTGCTGAGGTGCTTGCTGAAATTGGGATGTTAGAAGTTGCTTTCACTCACACCTGAATTACCGAGGAAGCTGCAGAAGTGTTTCCTGTGTACGCAGTGCTTCAGTTTCCCGCTTTTGCCAGAAGTTACAAACAGTTGCCTTAGAGTTTCCATTGGAGCAAACATTTGGAATTTCTGTGGCCCGCATTGTGTATAGTAGAGTAATTGAATCTTTTGCATTTATAGTCATTTATTATTCCTTAGTCCAAGTTCTTTGCACTATGGTGGCGTGTTTCAAAATAACTTGGGGAGGTCGTTATTCAACATTGCAAAAGTGAGCACTTGAGTCCACTTAGATCCCTTAATTTGCTTTTTTTCCATTGTTCTTGGGAGTTTTGTTCCCTTGAACCGCAGTAGCTGAAGTGTGTCTTAGCATAGGTTTTAGAACGTAAACAGAATGTATAAAACACTCAGTGGAATTGGCATTATCTGGGTTTGAAAAACTTACTTAGTCTCAGTGGCTATTTTATTAGCCAGAATCTTTCAAGGCACGAGCCTAAGCAGCTGTGGTGAGGAGAGAGGTGCTGGTGAGGAAGTCACTTAGCAGAACAGCGGGCTTCCCGTCATAATTTTGATGATTCCAAGTAGGACTACTTTGGCTTAGAACAGTGGCTGTTGTCACTGTGAATTGGATTTGCACATCAGTTAGCAATGGAAGGAGGGACAGGGCACAAAACCAAGATCACTTGAAATGTCAATTTTAATACAGTGTTTACTCAGACAGAGCAAGGAAGAAAGGGGATCAGAGAGGAGGGTAGCTGCATGCTGAAGCAGGGTTTGACAGTTATTCTTGAGTGAGGGGCTGAAATTGGCTTGGCTGAGATGATCTGTGAGGAGGTTTAAATTACTGTTATTTAACTACATGCAGCTTAGAGATGATCAGATGATGGTGAACCTCATGCTCCTTTTACTTCTATTAAGTGCTAGGAAGGTGGGTTGAGAAAGGAACGGAAAAGGTGGCTGTGATGTTGATTGGCTCTTGGGGTCAGAGAGAAGTGAGATGCTGTCATCCTACAGTGACAGGTCCTTCTAGACTGAGCGTCTAGGAGACGTCGCGTAGGTGGTTATCTCCTTTTCTCAAGTTCAATGGAGAATTTCACGTACAATTCAAGCTTTATCTTTAGATTTTTTTTCAGACAATGGCAACCTATCTGGAGTTCATTCAGCAGAACGAAGAACGCGATGGCGTGCGTTTTAGTTGGAATGTGTGGCCGTCCAGCCGTCTCGAGGCCACAAGGATGGTTGTTCCCCTGGCTTGTCTCCTCACTCCTTTGAAAGAACGTCCAGACCTGCCTCCCGTGCAGTATGAACCTGTGCTCTGCAGCAGGCCAACATGCAAAGCCATTCTCAACCCACTTTGGTAGGAATTCTTTTAAAAACTACTGAAAATGATGAATATAAGGTGTACGACTGTCATGTGATTCTCATAAAAATGATTCAGTTTGGGCAAGTTGTCAAATTTGAGGGGGGACGGTATAGCTCAAGTGGCACAGCACCTGGTTAGCATGCAAATAAATAAACCTAATTACCCTGCCTCCCCCAGCCCTGCTAAAATGAAAATAATTAAATAATACAATAATTAATAAAAAAAATTTTTTTAAGTTGTCATATTTGAGATGAGTAGTAAATCATGAAATTCCTAGGTGATGAATGCCTGTGGACATCTCCCTGGCCTGATACTCCACATAAAAATTAGAACTTATGGGAATGAGGTGGAGGTAGAGGGAAAGATTCGTAATTTTCTTTTCTTTCTTTCCTTTTTTTTTTTTTTCTGATTTGCAGTTTGCTTTTGGCTTCGCTGTTGATGTTCTTGGTGCCTTTTGAAGCATTTTCCGAGAAAATCCAAAACCTTTAGACAGTTTTGGTGTACGTGCCTGGTGGGTGATGCTGCCTGGCAGGAAGAAGTAATAAGCAGAAGAAATTTTAACTCTTATTGATTTTTACCAATAAGTGTAACTTTTTGCACCCAAGATGAGATGGTGACCTATGGTACTTCTCTTATATGTGGCACTACTTGAAAGAACTTTTAAACAAGTGAAGAGTGCCATAACTAGTCTTGAAAAGATAACATTTTTATATGAGGGACCTTTCTAATTTTCATTCTCCTTGCTCTTATTTGATGTTCGTATATAAGATGCTACTGCTCTCTTAAAATAACAGCCCCTGATTGATTCTAAATGTAGAAAGTTGGGGAGCAACCAAAGCATTATCTTGAACCAATTCTAGGAAGTGTATCAACCCAGCAGCATGCCTGCCCGACTTCTTCAAGTGAACTAAGTGTGGTTACGTGCTGAGAAGTCTTTCCTGTGTGTGTAAAGTGTACTTTTAGTATTAAAAGTTAATAGTTTCACATATCCGAACAATAAATATGTTAGAAAAATCCTTAAGATTGTGTTTAGGTAACAGGGCAAAAGGAAATAACTTGTAATTTATATAAACCATGAATTTTAAAATATCATCTAGGAAATTGGAAAAGAGAGAAAGGATGTACAAATTCTTCATTGTTGCTGTGTGAAGGAGACTGTGGGTGTACTTATTGCCAGAACCTGGCTGCAGTGAATGATTCACATACCTTCATTCATTGATGGACGTATGCAGAACCCCCTTCCATGTGATTTACTGAACCTGAAGTTTATATTTGAGTGCTTTCTGCCTTAAAAATGAAAATGGTGCCTGGTTGTAACACTCATCTTTTTCACAGTCAGGTTGACTATCGAGCAAGACTTTGGGCCTGTAATTTCTGTTTCCAAAGAAATCAGGTATGTGAATTATAATTATTGGAAGAAATACTGTCTGTTCTGTTTTAGTTGTGCTACTCTGAAGAAAATTAAGTGAGACTGAATTTGTGTCTGCCCTGGCAGTCAGCAGTTTCTGCTGTAGTCAAGGCGATGGATTTTGTCAAGCATAATATTGAATGTTGTACATACATGATTTTTCTTTTGAATGGTCATTCAGTTTCATTATCTGAGTCTTTGCCCTTTGCTGTGGAGGGGAAAATGGGGATAACCCTTTTATTTTTTAACAGATTCTCTATAGATAGTGAGTATGGTACCCTAGAAAACAGGTAAGATGTTTATTATTTCATTTGACTTCAGTTTATTCTAGTTGCATAGAGTATATTACTGAATTTTTATTTTCCTATCTTTCTAACTTTTAGGGTTAAGTGTCAGTGTTGATATTGTTTTGATTTAAAAGTTTGAAAACCACTAGGCTAGGAGCTCATGAATGATCAGAGAGATTTTCTCTTTGAAATGAACTGTGCCTGTGAAGAAATGTTCTAAAAGGGGGTTATGATGGTGATTGGACAATTCTGTGCATTTACTAAGAATCATTGAATTGTACATTTGAAATGGTATATAAACTATACCTTAATAAACTGTTAGAAAATAATTATGCCCAACATAATGTACAGTGCTCTAGCAGATCTTAAGATGTAACATGCACTTATTTATTCATACATTTGGTCATAATTATAATTAACAGTCTCCTTCTCAGATACAGCGCACTGTCAGTTCAGTGGTAAAGAGACCCGTGTGCGGTTGATGACTAAGTCTAGACTTGGGAACTAGAAGCAGATACTGTTCAAGATTTATCTCCATGAGCGATATGCAAATCTTAAAAACATTCCTACACCCTGTTACATTCAGAATTGGTGTCTGTGTTTAATATAATTTATTGTGGAAATTCTAAGGCATCAAAGGACAATGTCAGCAGCATATCAGAGGCAACCCACAGGATGGGCGAAAATATTTGCAAATCATATATCTAATAAGGGACTAAT